ATGACGAGGATCCTTTCGAACAGCTAGTACTTTCTGGGATTATCCGTACACATTTACAAATTATTAAAGCTGACTTATTCAAGGTTATCATGCGCCGCCGAGATCACAACTGTAGACATTGGAGTAAAGCTCCGTGAAGGATGTCCATAGACCATGCTGTGACTTGGGTTTATCATTTCGGTGCCCCTTTCAGAAGGTCCTGGCGATATCGTCTTGTACCATGGCACGATCTCCATTAGCCCTTTCAAATGCGGAAAAGTATAGCTAAAAACCGTTTCCTATTATTGAACCATTGCAGGGTGATACAGGTGGACCAATGGTATGTGATGGTAAACTAGCTGGTATCTATTCCTGGGTAGTTAGTCCGTGCAGAACAACATTCCCTAGCGTGTTTACCAGAGTTTCTGAATATACAGAGTGGATAAATAGTCAATAAAATTATACACTCGAAATATTTATCAAACTCAGCTGAGTTCAGACCCGTGACTACATGTCAATGACCCCCTCCCCCCCAAAAAATTGATTGCCCTACTGAAAAAGGTTATGACAACCGATCAATTACATTACACCATTGTGCCTCCGAACAATTAAGTCTGATTACGGTCAGGATTGAGTTATATCAATATGTTATTATGAATATCAATTTTTGACAGATGTTTCTTTATGTTGATAGTTTCATAAGTATTTTAAACCTTGCTCATACAATTTACATATATAATAATTTGATCAAAATGTTTTTGTTTCAACTTCTGAGCTCTAGACGTATACGTACTAAAGTTGCACACCCAAATCACTCGCGGCCAATATGCAAACTACGTTTTAAGTATTATTCCTTTCTTATTGTTTCGAACTAAGTTTCTTGAACCAACATAACCACGATTGTTCAAGGCCACTGCGTTTCACTTAACACATCAACCGTGACAAGTAATGAAAGATCAAGTACTTTTGAGCAAGACAGTGACATCGAATACATCCTAGCCTAAGGCATCATTTTGTTATAAGTTCCTAAACAGGTGCATAAGAGGGTGTCGGATTAAAAAAAATACCGGAAAATACAAACATGTTTATAGGTGCACTTCTGTTTACTAACAAGATGAATGAATAAAAAACCTACCCGATTTTTCTTGACGTCATCGAGGTGATCAGGGCCATTGAACCGTAAAATAGTTTGTAAAACGTATTTACTCTCATGATCAAATACTGTCTTTATCAATGGATGGGAATTGAGACATTCGCCGAATGACGCAAGTCTAAGGAAAGACATAGTTCGATTTTGATTTTTAAAGAGCTTCCTTGATAATCAACCGCCTTTTGGCAATTAACCCGTTTTCACGTTATTACTGGTACAGTGAAACTTGTATTAGATAGACTCTGTTCAATTTCTGTTTAGTCCACCACACTTATAAATTATTGTGTTACTGTGGTTTACCGTCATACATTGACCCGGGTTCCAGTGGCGGAGCCAGGTTTACGTCCGAGGGGGGTGGGTGGGGGGCGAGATATCTGAGATTGCCCGAATCCCTAACCTAGTTTGAAATTTTTGCCCGAAAAACTTGCCCCATCTGCAACTATATATTATTGTACTTACAAAGACACACCGACAGCATCATATACCTTATTTTAACACCGAGTTAAATACAATAAATTTTGAACTTGATACAACTGTTTTTTTGTATGTGATGTGACATTTAAACCATGTCAAAGTAAAAAAAATGGAAAAACAATGTATCACGCCTAAAAAAGCGACATTAACCACTGGTCAATTAATGGGATACTACGTCTTAAAATAAACATAAAATTTTAAACTTGGCCAATAATTTTTTGTTCATTCTAAGACGTAGTATCACTTTAACAAAGGACTTTCTTATATAAATGTAAAGACGGTAGAGGTTTGGTCAACGAAATGACTCTGATCATACTATGATTGCTAACAATGAACCAGAAACAACGACACTGAAACTTAAACTACAGTTGTTGACAAAAAATGATAAGTTTCAGAACGAGCATTCTTATGGTTCATTTTCTGTGAATCATACCTTTCACTAGACTAAATGACCGTGGTATATAAACCTATTTAGAGATTTTTTTAACGTGTTGGAACGTTGCTTTGTGAGCAATGGACTTATAAAGCTATGACGAAACAGTTTTTGTTGAGATCTTTCTTTTTAGTGTGTGGTGATCTGAACCTTGAAACAAAAGATAATAGGCCGATTAAGGTTTTGAGCGATATGGATATTTTTTTTGAAAAATATTCAGTTTCGATCAATCATTCTTCTATCACAATTGTCGTAATAAATGTCACGATTGCCCGCGATTGCTTTCACTTAGAACATAACATCAATTATCTGAACTAGAATAAATACATAAAAACTTCTTTGTGTATAGAAACCCATCACACATTGGTCGGCTCATCATAATAAGAACGGGTGACACCGGCCTTCAAAACATTGGAACAGAACAGTCGAAGAAAGGTCGTGGGAACAGATACTGTGATTAATTCGATACTGGAGATCTCTGGATAACCAACAATTGGTAGGAGTTGTATTTTGTACAGTTTAAGCCTTCCTTTTTAATTTCCAGGATTATTCTTCAAGTGAAATCGTCATTTGGGAACCACTTAGTTTTCGCCGAATCAAAATATAACATAAAATGAACAGCAAAATAATCTGTGCTCTTCTATATTGTTTTGTGTCATTTTCACAGCAAGTTCACCCTTATCCTAATTCAACAGACCCTAATACTGGGCCCAGTTATGCCGCAACAAAAAATGAAAATAAACCTCTGATAGAGCCCATGTCATTCCCAATGGAACAGTCATCGTCAGGAGGAGCAGGAATTGTTCATCCATTAGACAATCAAGGTTCACCAGTTGCACAGCTGTCCACGAACCAAGAAACGGGATCAAATGGTCCACGACGATATTTCATCGAAAGACCCGTCGCTTTACAATTAGAACAGAATCAGCGACCGGATCAAATAACCAGACTACTTTCTGGCAGAAATCGGATGCCCACAAGATTTAGGGCCAATTCTCGTGGAAATCAACAAATGAGACAAAATGTACAATATCAAACAGTTGAACCCAACCCACGCCGTATTAGACAACGTAATGGTGGAAGACCATTAGAAAATCGGCAATTTCAAGACATAAGGCTGAGACAGCAACGACCGGCTGGTAATCAAATCAGAGGACAAAGAAACCCTGGACAGTCATCTTTTCCTTTGCCAGCTGACCAAATTGATCCCAAACCCACACGATTTGCGTCATCACCAACGGAACTCAACCATCCGGAATACGATACCAAATACTATTTGATTGAGATCCTTATGGACAGACCATCTTCAGCTGCGGATCACACCGTGGAAACTTTACAATCCATATTTACTATATTCCGTAGCATGTCCATCAATGATTTAGTCGCTGAGAATGCTTATAAGGTAAGAAAGAATAGCTAGATTTTTGTTTTTCACATGTTCCCGTCAGTACTCATACGGTTGTCAAGAGCACAACAAGGAACTTTTGGATCTGTTTTGAAACTGTTAGTACTTTTAGTAAGTAACACTAGACGATTGGGAGAATAGTTCTGTCAATTAATTTTCAGACAATCTGCTGTAGAGATTGAATACGCTTCTTTGAAAAAATTGTCGGAATTTCATCTGTTTATTCATTTCAGATTGTTGGTAGACCGTGTGTCATATTCAGTAAGTATCTCTTTATTGAAATCACGAATTTATATAATCAAAATCTAAAATTAAAATCCGGAAGCTGATAAAATCAGTGATGTAGACATGGAATGAGCATAAATGCTATCATAAACCATTACCAAGATCAAGAACTGCAGCATCACTGATTATACTGGACAATTACCAGATTCATCATGAAGGTTTCGAGAAAACGTAAGGCATGTACTGAAATTAGGTACGATTGGATTTAGTCTACAAGGATTTGCATCGTGGCTATAACATAACGACGATACGTTGTGCTTTAGTAGAATCGACCAGTAAGGTTGAGTTCAAATAGAAGTAAACTTTTCGATTATACGGTGCACGTTTTGCACGACACGCGTATACCTAAAATCGAACAAGGTAATTTCATAATACATGGTCACGTAAGAGGACACTAATCGAAAACGAAGTATACCTGCGTATAGTAGAGTATAGCGTAATATAGTGAGAATCGTGCTTGTTCGATTTTCAAGTAGTGTATACAGCCAAATTTTCTATGCTGACGTGTCCATTTGATCGGCACAGAAAGAAAGAACCGAGTAGGTCGCATGTGCTGTCCTATGTGATTCGCCGTGTCCGTATAGCATATAGCGAATACCGAGTAGCGAATACCGTATAAGGTATACCGTATACGTCTATGTGCACTCAGCCTTAGGTCAGAAAAGGACTAGCTTTCTTCATCATTTCAGTCGTGAAGGGAAAGAAAGGGTCACAAGATATTGCTTCATCAATAGAAAGAGTAACAAGATCCTTGGAAAGATTAGGCACAAAGGTTGAAACCAAGCTGTTGTACTCTCTGGAGGCATTCGTAGAGTCAACAGCAACAAGGTTTATGCCTCTGTCAAATCTCGTACGATCCACTCGAGCACCAGTACCTCAACTTAGCACCAACAACTTGTATCTGTGTCGTATGACTTTTGATGGAACGGGTAAGTGCAGTTTATAGATTTACTTCAACTCATCAAAAGCTATTGGAATTTACGACATCACTTAACCCATACAAATGTAAGAGAGGTGTAGCAATGAAATGACTCGCAGAACGTCACAATTCCATCAAAGTTGAAAAGGCAAGTTAACATAAGCCCACTGGCATCCGTCAGGAATAACAATAACAAAGTTCTTAGTGACTAAAATACGGATTGTCTCATTTTAAGATCTTAATAATGCATTAATGGATATATTATAACTGTCAGTTATTTATGCTGAGTTTTTCCATAATATGTTTTTAAAATCAATATAAATCACTCAATTAGGTTAGAACAACAAAATAACGTTGATAAATTGCTTAGCAGGCCGATGACTTTTGATATTATGGTCCCATTGCAGATCGAAGAATCCCATGAGACCGTGTTTAGTAGATCTTGCATTTTGCTATTGCTTTTTTAGGCGTATGTTACTCTGCATGACAATCTATCATTTAAATAAGTCACTTTAAAAAGTGAAGGTCATATGGATTTTTTGCTGGAGAAATTGACAAAATAATCGTTCAGATACTTCTCAAGTTTTCACCACAAAAATTGTATTCATGCCATAATGATCAATGTAATGTAAATTTTAAACAATCAGGTTGCCTGGAGCATTATTTTTATGTTCTATTTGGTGTGATTTATTGATCAAAAAACATGAAATGAAGAAAATTTCATTATGTTTTACAAATGTTTTGGGCAATAAATTTTTTTTTAAGCAAAATGCAATAAATAAAGATAAATAAAGGAATGTTGTTTGACGCCTATGGTGATCGATTTCTGAGAGAGATAGTGTCAATTTTATTACCACAGAAAAAAAACTAGTTTATTACACTTTATTTTGGACTTGTCGGGCGTAGCGAGATTTGAAATTAAAGAGTTTCGCTTAAAAAAGTTGCAAAAATGCACATTTTGCACATATTCGCTCTCTAATATTCTCAAAATATTTATATGTCCTCAAAACTGTATACATTGTAGTCCTTTTAAACAAGTTCCCCAAATTTTGAAAATACCAAAACAATGAATTTTTCTAAATAAAATTTCTTAACGAAATTTCCTACAAAATGATTCACTGCATTCAAAATATATACTTTTATATTCGATAATACGTCGGAAAATGTGTAAACAAAATAGGTCTACATTATTATATTGTAAATTTCTGTATTGTTTGGAAAGTAACGGAGCAGAGAGTAGCACTTTGCTTCAATCTTGGATGAAGACTGCTACTTTTCGGATCGACCTATTTTACAAACATTTATTTTTATTGAAGTTTATATCAAAACAAATAAATTCATGACAACATTTATCAGTTTTATGACCTTAGTGTTATTAAAGTATCGTAATATTTAAATCTTATTTAATATTTATGTAGATACATCCACGTCATCTTCGCAATGTCAGGTATTACGAACTTCGTCTTATACCTTGACACGGAATGCAAGGATTGGATTGGATTGTACGCTTCATTACACAACAAGGGGTTGCTGCAATACATCCCATGGCTCAACCAAATAAATCATTTGATTCGAAAACAACTATCATCACATCTATATTTTGCAATTCAGGCATGGATAAGATAGAATATTTAAGTCAAACGCTTAACAGTACATTAGAAATGTTAGAAAGACGTGCAGAAGGCCAGGTTCGATTTAAAGGTCACAAAATCGCTGGAGGATTACCATTTGAGGTAAGTTAAGATTCATTTTTATAACAGTCTTATTTATGTCAGTTGTTACTTTAACGGACCCTTTGTGACGAGTCCTGTATTACTAAGCTTAAGCATATGTTACAACCACATTTGTTTGCAAATGAACGGAATTGTGATAGCCGGGATGAATTCCAGTTCACTCGTGACAGCAAGGATGGATGCCAGTTCACTGGTGATAGTTTGGATGAACACAAATTCACTTGCGATAGTTAAAATGGACAATAGCTCCGTTGTGATTAGCTAGGATGGACTCTGGTTCATTTGTGATAGCTTAGATTAACTTCAGCACACTTGTGATAGCTAGGATGAACTCCGATCCGCGTGTTTTAGCTTTGTTGGACTCAATATCACTTGTGATAGTCGGGATCAACCCAGTTCACTTGTGATGGCTAGGGTGGACATTTATTGGATATATAGGATATTTCTAGTTCTTCTTGATTACAGTTTCAGTATATTGGTAATTTTAGTCCTGATGGAAATGAAATGGCGGTGATTGATGCTATACCTATATTACATGCTGGAAACGCCAAGGTGATTACGGAAGAAGTTCAAACTTTAGATGAGTTGATACAAATAATGAAGAACACACAGGCGGTGAACATAGCTCGTGTATAACATTCCTCTAAAATTGGTTGGAATTAATGCGGGTGAACATTATGAAATCTCTTCAGAGACTTGATAACTCGGTCAAAGAACATACGTCCCTATTGCTATAGTGCTACTTTCGTACAAAAAAAATTCCCATTGTAATTTAAATGTTCATTACTTCTTACGTCGCGAATTATTTTAAGGTACCGATGACTGGAAGACGAAGGATTAAAATCAAAGCATGCATCATCCCCGTTGCCAGGACTGAATTGGTGCTTTGGCTCAGATTGTACAGAAAATTTGAAGATTTAAAGCCCCAGAGAACCCATTTCTGACAATTTAGGTGTCTATCTATATCTTTTTGATTTTGTATAAAGACACTGTAAATGAATCAATCTCTGCTGAACGGAAGGTTTTGCTTGGTCTTCATTTTCAGTTGCTGGGGCCATCATGGACCCAACCCTAATGACTGGGGTGGCATACACACCCCTCTGATATAGTACTTTGATATTTTTGAAGAGATCTTAACATTGTGTCCATTATTTTGGTATTTTGCTGCTCATTATTTCTTGATGCGGCAAAATCACAGATACCGGGGTCAACAACTTTTCTATGTTACCCCACAGATTAAATCCTGCACCTTACTTCGTATAGAATAAAAACCAGTGTTCTGAAAATTTTATACACTTAGTTTTTGATGATTTTAATGTGTGTTGTTCACTTTTTTTTATTGAAAAAGTCACAGTTAAAATTGGTCGAAAATCCAAGTACTAACAATCCGTTGTTTGATGTTTTGTACTATATATTTATAATTTGTTATAAATAAAAACAATAAAATAAACTTTGGTGCTTTTCTGAAAAAAATTCAAGTTTGGGATTTCAACGCTTTAGATACACTGCTTTCTACTCTACTAAGTAACGGGCAGATACTAAATAATAAAATATGAGATGTCGGAACATAAATTACCTTATCCTTGGTTAATATGCAAAACTGTCATTTAAGAAAATTTTGTTCATATATGGTCTCGGTTAACATCAATCGAGCCCATCGATATGAATTCTGCTCAAAGTAATAAATGGTCTTGCTTCAATGCTGTCTGAGAGCATTTTCTGAGAGCTATTTTCAGCTTCAACTGTGCATCATAAATCCACGAGTACTTTTTTCTTAATTGACAAGAGCTCATCTCCAGGGATGCCAAGAACTAATTTTATGAAAGGAAGTGAATATTGACGTTAAAGCAAATCCTTTGTAGATAGCTGTTCCGGATACTCTACCAAGCGTGTCCCTGACCATCTTCACAATGTCAAGCTATTACGAACTCCGTCTTATACCTTGATTGCAATATTGTCGAGATACAAGAATAGTGACTATTATAGTCAAGGTATAAGATAAAAGTTCGTAATATCTTGACACTTGTGAAGATATGCATTTATGAAAAGGGGGGAGGGGAATCAAAGGTCTGAAAATAACTAATGATACAAAAAGCTATATTTATCACACACTCATCATCTAAATCCAACAAGTTTTGTCACTTCTTTGTAAGTCACTTCAGCAATTTCACTGGCATTTAATCGCCCTTTTTCAAGAACAGTGTCAAGATGGTGTCTGTCCTTCTGTAAACGGAAGAATTCTTCACGAATTGGCTTCAATTTCTCTATTACAATGTCAGTTAGCAACAGTTTGTATTTATGGGTGTCCATAGATTCCAACATGGCGGTTTCACAAATGTCTTCTGCAAAATCACCGGTCAAAGCCTCGTGTATTTCAATGAGATTTGCCACCCCAGGTCTATTTTCAGGATCGTACGTTATTTCTGATGTAGAATCAGTCACTGCCTTTTTGATTTTTTCTCTGATCTGGTCAGGCTCATCTGTAAGGTCAATACGACCCATTGGATTAATTTCTGATTTGCTCATTTTATTTTTCGGATTTTTCAAACTCTTAATTTTCGGTAATGGACCTGAAACATAAATGAAAGAATATTTTCAAATTGTCTAAAACATCGTGACTTTTATGATACATGCAGAGCCTGACAATGTCCGTGAACTGAATGTTCCAGAACTGAGCCAAGTGGTGGTCCAGACAGACTAACAAAGGGCCCACTAGTGTTACAGAATGGACTAACAACTGAGCCAAGTGGTGGTCCAGACAGACTAACAAAGAGCCCACTAGTGTTACAGAATGGACTAACAACTGAGCCAAGTGGTGGTCCAGACAGACTAACAAAGAGCCCACTAGTGTTACAGAATGGACTAACAACTGAGCCAAGTGGTGGTCCAGACAGACTAACAAAGAGCCCACTAGTGTTACAGAATGAACTAACAACTGAGCCAAGTGGTGGTCCAGACAGACTAACAAAGAGCCCACTAGTGTTACAGAATGGACTAACAACTGAGCCAAGTGGTGGTCCAGACAGACTAACAAAGAGTCTAGTAGTGTTACAGAACTTACTAACAACTGAGCCAAGAAGTGTTGCAGACAGATTAACCAAGAGCCCAGTAGTGTTACAGAACTGAGCCAAGTGATTGTCCAGACAAACTGATGACTGTCCAGTAATATCCAAATGACCAGCTTGGGTTTGGTATTAGCCAAATGCTTTTAATATCAATCAAATCTCTTGATTGATTGGTCATTTTATCGTTATGAGTTGTGACCATTTTGATTGATAGTTTTGGGTAGCACTTGTCTACATTTTGACAAATTTTGATGGGAAATTCATGATTTGAAAACAAAAAACACTTAACATTTTTTTATCTTATTAATATTTATATTGAGTTAAATATGGAAATAAAAGAGTTAACTTAACACAGGTGCTGGGGTAAAACAATCAATTTTAAAATATGTTCATTGTCACTAGGTTTGGAGACAAAAGACTATTTACACCTGAGGCAACAATTCAAAAACTTTTATTTGATATGTTTTTAGTGTGAACAGAATTCAAATATGTTGCACTGTTCATGATCACCAAGCCCCATTTATGAAAATTTTCAAGAAAGATCCCACAAAAATGCACAAAGAACCATGGAGCATTTTTGGCATCATGTTAAAGGAGCATCTTCACTATCCCTTGGCAAATCATACCTTAGTTTCAGAAACTTATTTTTAGATTACATAATCAGTAATAGTGTTCACAGCTCATTGTCGAAATTTGAGCCTTCAAATCCATGTGTATCCATAATTGTTCACGTTTGAAAGTTAAATTTCGACTCGAATTTTATTGAGACTGTGCCATATATATAATACACATAATATGTTTCTATAAATCAGATAGAAATAGACAGTGAAATTTCTAGTTTGAGGTATATTTGAAGGGATTATGCGATTATTATGTGTTTTAGTACTTCTTAAGACTATTAAAGCACATTCAAGACTCAAATCAATACCTGAAAATGCCGACTGTTTCCCTTTAAGTACTGTATATGTGTTGAAAGTACAAAATACTAACACATTTAGACTACATTTCTCACCAAGAGAGACCACAATCTCAGATTATTTAGAATACAATGCAAGGGGAGAAGCTAAAAATTGAAAAAATATTACTGTACTTACCCAATAGTTCTTGAGGTTTGGGAAAAAGAACTCCAAATTTAGTATTGAATGATTTGGCTAAATCTCTAGATAGTTCTATGTGCTGTATCTGATCTTTTCCAACTGGAACATCAGTTGCTCTAAAAATAATATGACAACTTAAACATGTAAATGATTTTTATTTTCCTGCCTTTGATGGAACAAGAAACTCCAGTGTTGCTAAATGGGACTATAAAACTGAGACCAAGTCTACTGCTAGATCCAAGACATTTGGAAATCAAAGGAAAATGTTTTCTTGACACTTTGTGACTATGTCTATTGAAGATAGGGTGTAAAACTCGATGTAATTTTTAGTAACATTATAGTCCTGTAAGATTTATCTCCCATCAACAACAAAATTACAAACCAATCTGATATGGTTGCATAACTACCTGTGTCATCAATGATCTGATGAAATTTTTCGTTAAATCATATTCAAGTGCATTTAGAACCAAAACTTAGGAACCCCTTTGACAGATCATAGATGGCAAATGTTATAACACAGAAAAAAAAACAACCAAATTTCTAGATCTGCATTTTAATTAGATTGTAAACAGAAGAAAATTAAAGAATTAAATTCGGTTACCAATCTAATAGGGAAAATCAGTCACTTTAGATACACTTTGAATTTTTCCTTCATTTGATGTCATTGTTCCCTAACTAATTTTAAGAGAACCATATGAGTTCTAAACCATACTACGCTCCTGTATGTATAACACATACTTACTTATACAGCAATATATCAGCTGACTGTAATATAGGGTATGTAAGCAGACCTGTACCAACATCTTTATTTTTCTCAGATTTTTCCTACATATACAGAGACAAATAATTTTAAAAGCATTAAAAATATTTCCTAATCTTGTAAAATTTTACAGATATAAAAGATGTTGGATTGTTCAAGTTGATCAAAATATGTTCAGTCTCACCAGAAGATGAAGGGTTTTGTGCTTAAAATGTTAGTCAATTAAACTGAGCTTTTGGCAATGAGGCTCACAACTGCAAGTTTGAGAACTAAATCATTACCTACTTTCCATTGTGCTAGATGTTCTAACCTAGGTAAGGTACAAATACAACCTAATATCCAGGCTAACTGAGTGTGTTGTGGTACCTGAAACAATATCACTCTAGTCATTAATGTGAGTTACATTATGTGGCAATAGGCAGCAAACTAGTATATATATATATATCATGGCATAGCATCAACGATAAGGCAGCAATGTGAATTTGGAAAAGAAGAACAAGGAGTTTTACCTTTCACTTCTTCTCATATCAAAAATGCAAAAACAGTCAAATTCTACTTGTTGAAGAATCTTTAAATAACACACAGGGCCCTTGTAACTTTGTTCCATCCAAGTAACTAGAATCTGATTCTTCATTTTGCAACAAGGCCAGTGAGAAACCAAGTTGAGAATGCCACAATTTTGCCATTGTATTCAACTGCTTGCCACAATCATGGCAACCAAAGATCTCAATCAAAATGTGAATTAAGTATAATAAGGAACTCTGATTTGAGAAGGTACTTACTGTTGATTGTTGAAACAAGATACATTTATCAGAATCTATACCACAAGCTAATAAACATGCTGTCATATCATAGATATTCTCCCTGAAATCAATTTAAACAACTACATGTAACTGAAGAAAATCTTTTTCAGAATCATAAACTTTAAGATGGAAATGATGGAAACAGTTTTTAATGTTTAACTTTTCTGAACCTAATGTGCTAATAAAACTAAGCAATGTCATGCAGTGTGCAATGAGGGAATTTTAACAGAACAATGGCATTAGCTGTTTTATCTGATTTCCAACTGTCTCGAGGGGGAGGGGGTCTTTCATATGCACAGTCTGTAGCACACAGGGCCATGATTTATTGTCCCATCAAGCCTAAAGCTAGAAATGGCAGTTCAGAACATTTCTGTTTCTAATAATGATTTTGTGTTGTTGATATTTCCGGTACCTTAATGTTTCTGGATTTTGAGGTAGAGTGATAGAATGTAAATCAACTACACTTAAAATCATACTGTCATATTTCTTTTGTAACTGTAACCAATTTTTGATAGCACCAACATAATTACCAATATGAGGGATTCCTGTTGGTTGAATTCCAGAGAAAACTCTCCTTGTACATGCTGCAAACTGAAATATAAATACAACAAACAGTGTGTGGAAGAGTGTTTATTTCAAATCATCAAATCTTGTTTTTTACATCTTCATAATCTCAAGCTATTACAAAGTAAGAACTTTTTTACTTATACCTTGACTGCAATAGTCACTTATCTTGTATCATTGAAGTTTGTAAAAGTGATTTGACTGGATAGTATGCTAGCGTAAGCTTATACAACCGATCAGGGGCCTTGACAGAAAATCTGTGAATACAAAGCCATTACGATATAATCCCTTTATTCTGTGTTATAAGAATGACTATTGCAGTCAAGGTATAGGCCTAAGTATATAGTTTGTTATAGCTTGACAATGTGAAGATGATATTTTTATGCCTGAAAACAAAAGAACAAAATGTCAATTGCATATTTGTGATAACAGACAAAAAATTCTGATGTCCTAGAGCTCATTGTCATTAGATAGTAGCCTTAGTATGTAGTATAACAGGCCTTCATAGTTTTCCTATTAGAGGACGGGAGCTGAGGTGGCTCTCAAAGTCCAGGGTTCAATATGGAAAAAGAGCAGGTTAATGCCGCTTGTCCTGGCAAAATTTCCCTCATGGCATCCCTCATGGCGTTGCCCGTCTTCATTAGCCCACATGGTACAGAAAAGTAGGACATAGAACTCCATTCATTTCATTTTTATTCCTATTAAAGGACGTCATTGTCAACTACCACTACTTAATGGTCGGAAAGCAGATTACATACACCCCTAATTGGAATGACAACATTTAAACTACAAGCGTAATCTCCCCTGCAAGAAATAAAATCCTCGTGTTTCTTCAATTACCTTTCTTGGCTTTTCGGAACATTTCACATTTCCTTGTTGGAAGAACCTACGATTATAATTGACGTGTGAATACAAGCTTTGGTAAATTTTCGGAAACTTTCTACTGGGCGCAGACATTTTGAATTTAGAGTTATGTCCCTTCAATATTCAAGTATTAATTGAGGTGTCGTCAATTCTCAGACATAACCAGAATAACTGTTAACATAATAATATACAGTACATACAGGCTATTTTTTTATATACAGTAGGCATAATTGAAGCAGTATGTATGTAATTGGTGGAAAAAATAAATTTAAGAACCAGAATTTACAGAATTTTGTAACTTAAGTTATAACCTTGTTATAGACCTCGATCATTTAGTCCGAAAGGTCTGCCTCTATTCCAGCCTATGATTGATATTTTGACAGGTGTCAGCTGGAGTAGAGTCAGAAGAAAAAGACCCTGTCAAATGGGAGTTTTCCATACCTCCGAAGATGCGTTTTCTCTAATAATAATATTGAATTACATTTAAGATGATTGTAAATTAATGTTAGGCATCACCATAATTTTCGTTTTGTTAGTATCACGTGAGTCCGTGACCTTTAAACTTTTGGCTGCGCACGCAGTTTTAAATGGCCGATGGTAGATCAATTTTCGCCAAAAATAACTTTGATGGAACCGGAGACAGGACATAAATGGTGTAGGGAGAAAATAATGGTATGTCTGAACTACAAAACTATTCATATTTCCAAATATACCTGGGTTTTGGATATTCGAGGTATCTAAATAGGTCTTTAAAAAACCACTGCACCTGCGGAATGTCCCCATGTAACAGGACTTATTATTTCTGTCTCTACACCAGCTGACATCTGTCTAAATAGCTATCAGAGGCTGGATAGAGACAAATGTTTCGGTCTTTTGATCATTGTGCTTTTCATATAAATACTTAATGTTTCTTTACTGTTGGAAGTTATTATTTTCCTCATGACGATAGGAGAACCACATTGGGATGTTTGAAGTCATAAGCATTCTAGATGTTTCTAAGCATAGGAATGCTAGTGTTTGTTATATTTTTTGTCTAAATTCAATAAAGTTTTTTCTTATCTTTTTTAAAATTAATGTGATTAAATTAAAATATTCGACGTGCCGGACTAGATTTCAACTGGCATCCATTGTGGCTTAAGGACTTTGAACAATCTTCTTTCATAATGCACATGTTTAGCCAAAAGTAAGGACTATGATATTTTGATAATCTATTCATTTATTTATTTGCATCTAACACGAATGTAGAACATGTACAGTTAGCACTCATAAAATGAATATATTAATAGGCCTATAGGCGTGCCGTATATAACACTAAGAAGAAAATGTATACAAGTAGCTAAACATACTTGATTGTGATCGTGACCACAACTGAACATAACAGTGTTTCACGCACAGTGTACGTGTATACAAGCTTTGATTATCCAGTCCGCAAAACCTGTCAGACTGTCATAATATTTCCTGGTAGCTCAATTTTGTACACGTTGAATTGATTGAGTTGAGGTTTGTATATAAGTTGTCTGGCATTGATTGCGTTTGTCGTCGTCATACATAAGCCTATTTGATACCCGAAAGCTTCACACTTATAAGTTACCGGTATATTAACGCTCTGTTGCTATGTTATTAATGCCACTTAGTAGGCCTTATACTGTAGTATATAGACAGAGTTAGGCCCTATTATAACTATAATATATATTATTATACTATATACATGTATATATTATACTGAAGACATACTAATGTTATTACTCGACTACCGATTAAAAATATTTATTTTGAATAAATTGTAATGTAGACACCCTAAGTCCAAGTAGTCTCACGACACATTACCATAGTTTGTTGGCATTATTCACAATTACCATCGTCTGTCAACACGCAGAATGTTAGGCCTACATTGATGCGACGATAACTCTAAAGAGATTGATCTAAAACACTTAAGGGTTTTGATTCCCTATCTGGACTCTTCGTACCTTTCGGCTTTAGTTGTTTGACTGTCCTTTGAAGAAGTAGGGATTGGACACCTTGATCAATATGAAAAACTAATAACTTATATTTATTTTAATAGTGGAAATATTTACCCTTGTACGGGACGTAAAGACTGTTTGATATGGATTAACCATATTGTTCAATAAGGAACAAGGCGGACAAATTTCTTTTCCCATTAAGTGATTAATTTTTTCTTAGCAAAGTTAAATTTTCATAATGGTAGAATGGACCTAACATATTTATGTGTTCTGTTAAATTTTCTCATCTGCCAGTTCTCCCCCTTAGATACATTCGAATCTCGCTATAAAATTGTAGTCACTGTTTGTCAAATATTCTAGAAATATAAATGTGTCTGCTATAAATGTTGTTCTCGCAAAAATATAGCTCTCAGTTTTTAATCAAGCTATTTACAGGTACTTGCTCTTTAACAGAAAATTGGAGGTACAACAAAGAGCATCCTTTTATATTTCAGGTATAGGCTAGACAAGCAACCACCAGCAAGAATGAACGATGCACAAAGATTCACGTGCGCCATATGCCTAGACAGTTACAAGACTCCAAGAATCCTGCCCTGTTTTCATACATTTTGTGAAATCTGTCTTGAAAAGTTCATCCAACAGAAAGTAAGGAATGATTCCATTTCATGTCCAATTTGTCGGACGAATATTCAAGTTCCTGCAATTGGTGCCAAGGGTTTTTCTGTGAATTTCTATATTCCTGAAAATGACGCCCAAAAAGAAAAAGATTTCTGTCCTAAGCATAGCAAAGAAGAAATCAGCTTATTTTGTGCAGATTGTGACCTATTTGGTTGCTCGAAATGTGAGTGTTCGCTTTTCCATGCGACACAACATATAACTGAATATCGTAAAGAATATAAAACAACATTGTTACAGTTGCAAAAAGATGTTCAAGAGTACTACAGACCTAACGATGATAAACGAAAACGTCACATGAACACTTTGGTACATTCGTCTAAGAAGGCTAAGTTAGATATCGACAAGCATGTCAAAGCAGTTGTACAGAAGTCCCAAGATATGAAAGATGAAATTGATAGAATCGTTAACCTCGAGAATGACAAGTATAATTACAGAATCCAATACACTGGAAGTAAAATAACCGAATTAGATGCTTATTCTGCCATGATTTCAAACGCTTTGAAGACAGATGCCTTGATCAACACTTCACATATTCGAAATTTCCTTGAGAAAAACGAAGTTTATAGGGAATTTACCTCTTATTCAAATCAAAAACTTTGTTTCACGCCAGAAGAGCGTTTACTTGGAGACTTAAGCATGAGTCAGTCTAGAGTATATAAAATTCCGATCATTCTGAGAGAAAATTTTGTGGCGGAAATTTTTGACGCAGTGGAGAATAACAAAAATATAGACTGCTGTATCAAGGTTGTAAAAGAGAAAAAGGAAGAAAATGGAAAAGAATACATTACTATTCAATTAATGCTAAATGGTGATGATGGATTTCTTGATTCGCTCAATGGTTCCATATCGTTATCGATATTGAATTCAAGCTATAAATCACTTTCCAAAACGGTAAAAGAGGATGTGGACGATTTTAAAACTCCCCATGTTTTCGCTCAAATAATGCAATGGTGGGAATTAGACAGCCTGTGTTTTGCGGACGATAGAGGGGTTATTGTAGTTAAAGTGAAGATAATTAATTCACAGAATATGATAGAGTAATGTAGATCATGAATAATCTGGTTTTTAAGATGGTTTAAAAAGTTTCTGAATATAATGAACACTATGTCCCTTACCTTGTCTGATAGTTTCACCTACAACTGTATTGCCGTTAAAGGGATTGTAAAAAGATTTTCTACAATTTTTATATGTATCGGAGAAACTGATTGCACCGATCCAATTTTCAATCAAATTTCTGTTGTTTTTGGGTGTTTGGTGACGTCACTAATCGCGAAAGGCCTATATGCAAGCAGAATCATGTTTGCCAAGTTGTACCCATTTCTACCAAGTAAGGCATAAACTGACATTTTTTTGTTGAAATATGCATTTTTTCATTGTAAAAATATAATAATATTGATAGAATAATAGCATCAAAATACAGGAATTTAATTTTTTTTTTATTTATAATCCCTAACCCCTGCCCTTCTTAAAACGGATGAAGGTAGATTTTTCCTATCTGGATAACTTCTTGTTCTAACCGAATAAGTCGGAAAGCATCTGACAGTTATTCATATACAACTGGATAGAACAGAATTACTTTTGCAGTGCGAAAGTGGTATATTTTACACAATATTTTATATACACACACAAGTGCATCTGTATGAAGTACAAGATATAATGTTAACTGTCTGGTAACGTTAACTGTCGCCAATTTAGTCGGTGAATGGAACGTAAACTTGGTATTCTAAAAAGGGATACGGATGGTAAAGAAATATTAAGACCACTGTTTCCCCCTTTAGATAAGCGTAAAGTTTTGAGTGCTGTGTGCAGTCCTAATATGAAAGTTGGAACTCATGCGATCTGAGCGAATATCACAGCAAAGCACGTGTCTCACTTGGATAATATACACATCATAATAGTATTACTCTACAATTGATGTATTGAGCACTACTTGAAGAGTGGAAATATTTTGTTATTGCAAATATCATAGTAAGACAATACATTTTAAACCAAACATTGAAGTAAGTACGCAATTTCCTTATAATAATTCGCTATTTCAGTGGCATTTCGTTAAACTCGCATTCTTCAATTTCTTTCTATATGTATTATTTTGTTGACAATCAAACAACATTGTCGCCATTAAAAAGTTAAAACTATCCTGAATTTGGAATACTAATCTGATCTTGTAACAAGTGTGGAATAAATACAAATAATACACCAGCAGACTAAATTTAATGTACCATACCATTGCGAAAATCTTGTATTAAAAATCAAAGATTTGTATTATAAATAAAAGAAGGCCAACAAACCACACCAATGTAAAATTATCTCCCTTTGACCACAATCTGCAATGGTATGATGGTGGTGGGTGTACAATTCTGAACTGGAATTACGAATTGGGTCAAATAAACCTGAAAATCGAGACTCAAATTCCGCCAATGGCTGTGCACAAATTTGGGTGAATAATTCAAGATAATTTTTTTCCTTGTGCAGTCAAGCTGAATTGTTATAATTTTGACAATCAATCAATTAATATGATTTAATTAGTAATTTGTATATCATCACCATCAACATTGACAGAATTTTGAAAGGGACACCAAGCCCTGAATATAGATTCGCGGAGTCTGGGCCTAAAATGTCGGTCATTTGCTTTGAAAAGTGAATTTACTAAAATATTTATTTTCAATATTATTTCAATTTAGCCAAGGCTGTTTATTTTAAGATTACAGACTACAACAATGTGAAATTTACCCATGGTTTCATTCTTATCCATTTTATCGCAAAACAATGGAAAAACTGCCGACCCCCACCCCTAGACTCTATTATTTCGCTGCAAACGAAGAAATTTTTCAAACTTTCGGCAAAATCGACTTTGAAGCTTGACCATAATTTTCATGAGGAAAATCGCAGGTGTTTTGGTTTGGGGAAAAGACTGAAACCAAAAGAACATAGTAGCTTCTTATGGGTGTGTACAATGAGAGCAAATTTCAACTTGACATAATATCTGTCAAATTTTGGTCTTAACGTCAACCTTGTCCACCAGACTGCATAGACTGACTGCCGAGTCCACCCCCAAACTAAACTTCGCCATTTTTTTTTAATAATAATTCTAATTTAATATATCGCCTTGTATACAGATTCTATTAGCAGCAGATTTGTCCAAATGATGAATGCCTTGTTGAACGGAGCAATTGTCTTGACCATCAAGTAAAATAATGAATAACATTCGATCATAAACTACACAGAATTAACTTATCTAGTTTATCACAAAAATATCCAGGTGACCATACACCTATATAGCTATTTTTTTTATATCTTTGCTCCTACAAATAACCTGAAGGTCCAAGGTTCAATCCCCGTATAGATGGGGATGATACCTTCGGATTTTTCAACCTGGTTTTCCCCCGCAGGTAAGAGGGGCTGACGTGGAAAAAGTCGTTCGAATGGGACAATGAACCGAGGCCCCGCGAGTGCTATAGTCTGTGCACGTTAAAGTCCCCTCGACAGTTGTAAATCGAAAAAGAGCAGTCTTATGCCGCTGTCCTGGCAAAATTTCCCTCATATTACCCTGCATGGCGTTGCACGTCTTCATTAGCCCACATGGTGCAGAAAAGTAGGGCGTAAAACTCCATTCTGCAAAATGCAGACTCTCTTTTTAGAGTTTAAGTAAGATATTTAAAAAAAAAACTTTTATCTTTATCCCTTAAAGAAAGAGTATATATTTGTCAAAGATACCTACGAGGGTAGGCATAAAATTCAACAAATTTCAAAATTCAAAATTCAATTCAATTTCCTGATACTAACGGCAATGTTTCGTTTCTGATCAACTGATCAAAGACACCACCTATGACTTCTTTGGAGGGGTGTTTGCAATAAATCGACTGTCGTTTGATCTCTGGCCCGAAGTGATAGATTCAACACTGAAGTTGGATGGGGAAACATTCAAAGAGACTAGCTGGATCTGCTTCAAATGTGTCAAATTTTCTTGCGTCAGTTGATCTGTATAGCAAGTTGCATTACTCCTTCCGGGTCAGCTTATAAACTTTTCAGTCCACCAAGTAGCTAATTCTGCCATATTTCACCTATCAGTCATATCAATATTGGTAATCTAGTAATAAATTTTGTGACAGTATCTCACAAAAAAACTAAGTGATGACTAATGAGACTACATACCATTTTGTCATTTGCATGACTGAAGTATGTTAACAATTTTTTCATACATATCTCATTTTACTATTGTAAATACGGTAAATGGGTACAAATCTCAATATTTTTGTTTAGTGATAAAATGTTATGAAATTTAAGTGGAATCTCCCAATTCGTATTTCAAGCGAAAGAATATTTTTTATCAACATAGAATCTTCTGCAGCATTTCTTTGTCCATCCTTTGTCTAAGATGAAGCTCGAGAATGAAACAAACAGGCTTATTCGTGGTCCTTACCAAATGACTCAATTTAAACCTCCATAGAAATTCGGGGTAATCAAAGGCAAATAAATCATAATTTGGTTGAAGAAGTACAAGAAAGTATTAATGAAATTTGAATGCATCTATGGGATATAAAAAGTGAAAAAGGTACCCATAAAAAACCTACACAAAGAGTGACCTGTTGAACAAAATATTATTTGATGGATTTTGAATTAGTATAATTTCTATGGCCCTGCCTTTATTCAATGATAATCGTATTGGATTTTCTACATCTATATTTCATGGTTCAGTGACGTTCAGATGGGATGAGATTATTGTCTGTTCCCGCCAAGCTCTATTCACACGATGAATTAGGGTCTTTTCGATTAAAGTTCAAAGTGGACGGGGAGAGTCTTTCTTCTATGTTTAATGATAAATGTATATGTCCACCAAAGCCTACTTTCAAACGAACCTTTGACGTGAAAATTTGCTGTTTGTAGCGTCGTCAACTGGGATTTTTTACAGCACTATACAGGTTCATTGAGAAAATGAATAATGAAGGATGGGCAGAATAAGGCTACGTATTCATAAGCTATATGAATTCCAAATTTATCTCTGCTTTCTTTGCATGATTATTCGACATCAAGGCACCCAATATCCTCTATTTAAGGAATGAATAAGCAATTTTTACATGAATGAACTGCAGAATTCGGGTAAAATTTGAATTCGAAAAAAAAATTGACGTACACAATCCAATGTGAACTGCAGTCAACTAATCAAGAAGCAATAATTTGTATTAAAGCGTTTGCGAATTCAATTATCCAATCGGTGTTACTGTTAAGCCGCATTCGAAAGAATCAGAATCTCACGGCCAATAGTGACGGTTAACGTTAAGAGAAATGTCTCTATAATAACCAGTGCATTCAAGCATGACGAATTATCTCAGCAAATTCGATGCGGGCATCTTTTTGAAGTATAATAATATCATTAAGTTTACCGTGAGAGAAGTTGGTGTAGAGAATGACTAATAATACATCTCGGATACAGCTTTACAATCCACAGATATAAACATAGCTGGGCATATTTTCTTAGCTTTGATTTCCCATGACGTTCATGAATAAAACCACAAAATTTAGTCATGGTTTGATTGAATGGTTACTAAATGTTTTCTGGTCGTAAACAAACATTTTAGTCCACCATAATCGCCGATCATGTGAAATTATTGAACCCCTTATAAATCATTTCACCTGATGACGACTAAAAAAAAAACAACTCCGGGTTGGCCTACTATAAAATTGTGTTCCGCCATAAGAGCTTTTATTATGGCCAGATAAGTATTCACCAGGATTGCATGTGACACAAAAAAAACGTTGTAGAAGGTTAAATTTCGTGGTTGAACACATCAGAAGAAACTAGTTGAAGTAGTGGAACCATTCAGGTTTCACTCTAAAAAAGAGTTGTCTCCCTTTAGTTGTAGAATTGTTACAACTTGTTCAAAAAAAAAACCAAAACAGCGTACATTTAAATTATGATTGTATATATTTCGTTATAGTGGATAGCGACTTTCCAAATCCGAAATAACACTGTAGAGCATGTTCTTTTAAAAGATGCAATTTGGAAAAATTCTGACAAAAAACATGCAGTTGTTCATACATTG